AAAAAAAAAAACTCCCACAACGTACCAACTCTTTGATATGATATTCCCCTTGGCACACAAGCGAGCATAAGATTCAAAATTGAAAGAGCCGTATAAATTGCGAATCCGATCAACTGATCACATCCAGGTTGGATCGGCCAACCAGAACGGCACTTGTCAAAATCGTCGTAAGGGGATCCCATCCTTACGGCCTATAAAAGTCGAAACATGTACAGCAAACACATTTACTAACCTCAGGTGAACAATATTCGAAATAACCATGCGATAACATAACCAACTGGAAATCTTAATTCACGCGAGTACAAGAATAGCGGCAGAGAATGAAGAGCTAATGTTTACTGTTGTTTATGAAAGAACAAAACTTCTGAAACCAAATGTGCAGAAAGAAACATCTGTTGCATGATCATCAAATTTTTGTGGTTGCGAAAATGTAAGGCGAAATCATTGCACTGTTACGATAAGAAGTTCAAGAGTGATAGATGATAGCACCTTATCGTAAGTGGGTGCAGCCTGCTGGAACAAAGTTTCAAAACGCCTACTTTTCTATGACAGACTACCCTTTCTGGGGCACCTATTATCAGAAAATTAATATTGGAAAGAGGAACCGCACAGGGTGAATCACAAAAGGATCAAAACAAAGATTCAAGAGAAAATTATCAGCTTAGTTGTTGTTAGTGCTAATTGTGAGAAGCGAAAATGCATAGGCGCTATAAACTATGATAAGTTGGGAACTAATTTGAAACAAGTAATTATTCCACTGATTCCCAAGCCAGGATTGCTAGCGCAGCGAGTCATGGAACAGCCCAACTACGCCTCTAACTGCACTACACCTCAAATGAAATCATGATGGGAAATGGACTCGATTATATCTCATGATCCCCTGATTTATAACGAGAGACACTACTCTCCACTATGTAGCGAGGAGCGAATGTAATGAGGGATCCAAGCACTTGAGAATATCGACTATTATGATCCAATCAAACAAACTTCAAAGTTATAGTAAGGGTACCATAATTTACAGAGTGGAGCATAGCCTTCTGGGGCAGGGACAATACTTCTAGAATGGATTCTTATAACCGCATCAGTGAAATACCTTTGAGAATTTTCAAGAACTCTACACTTCTACTCACTTCTACTCAGAAGGAAACCATTCGAAAAAATATACAAGAACGGCAAGGAAGGAGAACAGTTCCTACACAACTGCAAAACTGTCGCGCAAATATAACGAAGGGTCTCACAGGTAACGAAAAAAACAAAGTTCCCAATCAATAGAAAGATCAGCATCAGCCAGTGACACATGGCACAACAGGGTACTTGTCCAGTGTATAAAAAGCTGGCGTATCAGCTTTACATGAGCCCATTAGATCTAAGATTTACGAAAGCTTCTAAAGCCGCAGGAAGACTTACAACTTTATTTGTTACAGACCAAGGGCGATTAAACTTGTAACGATAGAGGTGGCGAGGAGAGGACTTTAAAAGTTGGTGAAGAATACGATAACAACTTATGAGCGCTGTTAAAAAGTATTGAAAATCAATGGCTATGAGGGATGTATTACGTCCTTTGGATTCTTTCAGTGCCACTGTGACATGAAGTGGCATCGTTGTGAGAATGTGAAAAAAAGATGCATGTATGTGTAAGAGACAATAAGATGCTCATCTTTACCGATTCGTGGTGGAGAAATAACTGGATGATGGAGATGAGAAATCAGTTGTGCCAAGAGGTTTCGAAATAATTCTACGCCAACGATAAACAGAAAAAACGATGGTAGAATCACGGAAAGAGACCATTATGAAAGATTGATAACGCTCACGACGTAGTTTCCGACATCAAAGGGTAAATTATTATGAAGAGCGATAAAAAATGTAAAATCGATTGGAAGACATAAAAATGACCGAGTTAACGATCTTAATGGCGAGTGCATGGCTGTCATATTACGCAAACAGTAAGATATAGATTCAAACGACGATCTGTGATTGAAGAACATTGTTTGTCACAGTGGTATGCGACTCCGGGTTAAAGAAGAATGCACGGTGTATCCAAGCAAGCTGGCTGAAGGCCAAGATCTTTCTCTCTTTCGAAATTAAACTTCACCGCCATTTTTTCCCTTCGATTAAACTTGACTAATTGAGCAAACAGAGGTGACGTAATCGACTTCCCACGGGAAATGTGCGTTTTGCCAAGTCATCAAAATCCTAAGCGAATTTCAGCTATTGATATCAATCTACAATGTCTTCCTTTTGTGGATAGTGAAACCAATTTTGAAGAATAAAAGTGCATTTTCTCTACTAACCAGCATTATTCGTTGGGAGGACCGCCGAATAGGGGAAATTTCAACTGAGAAAAAAAAATCAGGAAAATCTTGTTGAAAAGACGAGTTCCGATGACCCCTTTCTAATCGCAGTTATTGGAGAATTGCCAGCAAAACGAATACGACGCAACGGCAACAACTAAAGAAAAGATGCATCACTCTCCCTCTTATCAGGAACTTTGCAGATAGGCAGTTAGAAAGGAAGTAAAAATTTTGATGACAAAAGACTGATGTGAAAATGTGACTTTAATCTGTTTGAAGGGAAGAAATGACAACGAAGTGTTTTAACGCAATCGTACTCAAAGCCTGTTTAAATGAAAATGCGCTTCCAATTCCAACAGCTTCACCCACTCACAACTTATTAAATAGATCAAACTTGATCACCACTTTCCACTGACTCCACATCACGCTAACCATACTAGCGACTCTTTTGACGTCCACACTTCAGGTGTACTAGTATTCTGCGATCAACCAAGCCCTTTTAACTCACCGTTTGCACGGAAAATTTCCTATGTTCAAGAGATACTCGGACTTCCTAAGAAACCTTCATATAGCGATTGTTCGACTTCGAGTGACGAACTTACCGAAATGTTGGTCCTATAAAGTTTAAAAATCTTGAAAAGGCTGAAGTAAGCATACATACTATTTCACACTCAAATCTTTCAAAGAGCAGGCACTCACACAGCCTTGGATACAAGGACCATCCAGACCGACTACCCTATAGAGTGGGTTTACGGCAACATTTATGGCTCACTGAAGGCTCACCTCTACCATGCAACGAACACAGACGATAAACTATAGTACGCATCACTGAGAGGTGGCGATGAGGTTCTTCCGCTTCAGAGCTACAAGCAGTGTTCCATTTGGCATCTTCTGCAGCAATCTGAGGGTGCTCACTATCTGATAGCTCTACTATTAAAGAGTGGAGCAGGAAAAGAAGAGTGAGAATGCCACGACCAAAGAACAAAAATGTAAAGCTGGAAAAAATAAATGGAATTTACATGATTCCTCCTATCAAAAAAATGAGCTGAAATCGCAAGTATTTTGTGCTTTCCCTCGGTCAAATCGAAAAATAATTGAGAAGGAATCAACCAATGGTTTTCCAATCCAATCAACGTTCCTGCCGATTCACATCATTTGCATTGTCGCGGAAATGTCAAAAGAGAATGATGGCAAACAGTGTTTATGATATGGGGATAGAGAGTGTTTATGATATGGAGATGACATGGTGTATCGAATCAAATGAAGGAAGCGAGACACGTGCAAATGGTGTGTGGTCACGCAAAATTGAAGAATAGTCACGTAACAGTTCGGATAAATTTCAGTCAAACGTTTGAAGTAAACATCGAAATCACGAATCGAAGGAAGTACCACAAGTTATCTCTATATTCTTTAATAAAGAAAATTCATCCAAAAAACAACCACAACAGCTCAACAAGTTGACAGATAACAATTCTGCGCTAATATTATGAACAGAGAAAGAAAATGACAAATGACTTGAGTGATGAAGTCAGCACTTTGAGGCAGAAAGCATAAAATTTCCAAGTCCAATTTCAACAACAAAGTTTCTAGTGAGTCACACGTAAGGGATTGACATCATAGGACAGCATTTCAACTCTCTGAAAAAAATTGATGACACTACAGGCCTCTCATCAAAAATTACAAAGAACCGCATTAGGGGCTAGCAAGGTGCCAGTTTCCATGGTGAATAAGGCAAATGGAATGGACGTTACTGACTATAGTATATCGATGCTTGATGAAGTTTGTATATGAGAAAACGATGTTGGGTCAGCAAAGAGTTGTTCTGTGGAACAGACGAAATTCCCTCTACAAAAGTTCGCAATGGCATATTGAAGGCTTGCCCATGCACGAAATGATGAATGGCTTCATTTTCAAATGAAGCATTGATTCTAATGAAAATTGAACTTATGATAAGAAATGCTCAAAAATCCTTAAGCCATTGTGCAGCCGATTTCACCGCTCCACTTTTTCTCGAAGCTGTCACTTTCTTGACAGGCGCCCAGATTTGACTCATACGACTGGCGTAATCAATGACGAGGAAGGCGTTCGGTAAATTGAGAGCGGCTTTTCCTAGCAACGACAATATCGAGGTGGTCGGAGCGAGAAAGGCACCAGTTCTATCTTCCGATAAGCTTATAGCTGAAATACGAGATCAAGAGGAAAACAAAATAACCGTTCTAACTGCGTTAACACTTTCAAATTCAAACAATTCTTGATGGCAAAAAACTTCACACATGGTTTTATGAACTTGGAGAAGTTAGAAAACTCACCAAGGATAGGTGCACAAACTTCACACAGTTTTAGTAGAGATTCAGGAATTTCTAGCGGCGACACTATAGCAGACGCTGAAGAGTTGACCACAGGAAAATCAAATGGATTTACCTAAAAGTCGTACAAATTGAGAAACAATTTTGCCTAATAGCGGGTGAAGGAGTATTGGAGGAGCAGAGAATATGACAGAAAATAGGTAATCGAAAAAATTTCGAGACAAAACATAAGTAATTTCGCAACCCAAATATGATCGCTTAAGCGGTTCCGGTGAAAAATAATAAAGAAAACTCGAAAATGCAGTATGAAAGAGCTTGGAAGTATGGGAATCGGAAACAATGGTGGACTAAGCGCAGCAAAGCGTGTCACTTTTCCTTTCGATTTTAGCTTCTTATTAGTTCGCTTTAAAGCATTTTTATCTTCTCTCAAGAAATGTGTTAAAGATCACTTCGGGAGCTGTGGTGCTCCCTGCTCTCTGTGCTGTTTATTTTGTGCATAGTTATCATGATTGTTGTACTGACCCATAAGTATTCATCACATGCCTACTAATGAGTAAAAAAAATAAAGAGTAAAAAGCTCGAGAGGCTACAGGAAGGATAAACCAGGTGTTACCTTCGACATTTCCAGATTTCTCAAAGCAAAAAAATGGAAACTATTGCTTACTTTGACATGACGGGAAGCAAACGAAAAAGAATCACCTTGGAAAAAACTTTTACAAGATTTATCTTAGACGAAATCCTGCCGTCAGACATAACCAACTGAACTTCTTCACAGAGATTTCGCTGACGTGATTTGTCGATAGAGTACGCCTGAACAGAAACTCTTCCTTCCGCTTTTAAATATAGGTACATTCCAAAGAATGGGAATCACCTTAACAAATGCTTCGACAGTCTCCAAAAAATGTGGGAAATTCCAGGCTGGTTTTCGAGAGCTGCCGAGAAATTTTACAAATGCTGTGAATAGATCAGCATTGCAGCTACATAACTTTGGATAAGAAGTCAGAAGTGAACCAATCGTTGAGAAAGCAAAGTTGCGAATCCTAAAAGATGGGTGGCCAGATGAAAATTAAAGAAAGAGTAAACTCGGAAATTGAATTTTAAACCCATCGAAATGAACTTAGAGTGGAAACCTATTTTTCCTCTGTTTTGTATAAAATATGTTCGTGAAAAAACTCACCTAAGCTCGTTATGAGTGAGGGCATGAAGTAGATGTGCGACGAATAGTGTGAAATGAGCACTCATAGCATTTGGAGTTACGGAACAAATAACACGAAGAAGAGCTCTAAGATGACCGCTCACGGCTGGATCATCGCCCTATAGCAATGCTATTACCAGCCGTAACAGAAGAAGAAGATAAATATCATTGTAGTGCAAAAAAAAAAAAACAAATCTAAGCATGAGAACGACATTCGAAATATTAGTTACTGGATTGGAAGTCACATGTTAGACTTACACAGTCTGAAATTAGACGGGCTACGGCAGGAATCAACGTGCGAAGGTGACTTTCGATTAAATCGGGGCGCGACGTTAACAGCTGTTTCGTCCCTATCAATGCATCTCTTCGAACAGACTAAATCAGAAAATATAAACAGATGAAAAAGACATGTTCAATGTTAGTAAAGCGAAGTTCAACTGGCAAGCCCCTGGCCTTCCTACACTACACTATAATATACATGAGCACCTTAATCTGTTACTGTTAGATTTCGCGGTATCTTAACTGTTTCTCTTCTGTTAGTGTGAGAATTATGCTTGATTTCCCGCTGTTTTATCTGTATATTCCTTCCCACTGTGCCTTATGCACACGTAGTAAACTTAAACTTAAATTTAAACTTAAGGAAAGAACTTTAGAACCTACCCTCAAAATGGACAGTGACACATTCTCTCTTGAAGGGAAAGAAGTCCCCGAATACTTTGGTATGACTGTATTTTTGCATTTCCAACAGTCGTAAAAATTACCCTGTTGAAATGACCAAGCTGCCGGCACAGTTCATCCAAGGATAAGCCACGATAAGAGAGCGGTTTGTTGGTTGTCTCGCTTTTCTCTTGTAGTTGAGAAATCAGAACGACCTTTTTTGCTTAAATAGTATTTATTCAGAAGAATACTAGTCCTAATAGTCTTGATACACAATGAAATCCGCAGGAAAACGCCTTTAGAAGAAAACCAACTTGTTATAGTGGTATCAGTAGTAGTTGTCTTTTTAAGCTTTTTGCCAACCTTTAACTTCACTTTTTTGAAGTCGGCATTCTTCTTTGCCTTCTTTTTCTTGGTCACCATCTGGAATGGTAAAACGTTCAACAGTAAAACAACATAGAGCTCGATGAGACTTTTGAAGTAACCACGAAAACACTTCCAATTAATGAATGCGAGTAATTTGAAAAATCACCTCAAAGGACTACTCGATTGGAGCGCGAAATTTGAGACCGAGCGATGTTGGTTGGTTCTCTAGAACGTACACTGAGCCGTTCATTCTGTGTTTGTGACTAGTGTTACATATATAACTAATCGAATCAGAACCCCGCCTTTTCTTACCTCAAGCTTCATAGGCCCATCAACACAAGGGACTGTCAACCCTCCGCATGCGCGCCCTGCTTTTATGTGTAGCGTGGGTACTTCAGTTGAATGACTTTACTATAAAAGCACAGCGTAAATAGTAAGCAAAAGATCTCTGGACTGTCATAGAATCACATGAACTACAAATGCATATGCAGTACGGTATGACACAAATATTATTTCTGTTACTACAGGGTGGGCCAAAATTATGATTACAGCGCGCGCTGACGTTCATTGCAAATTTTTTCTATGTTCATAACAATTCATTGAATTTCTTCCATTTCACAAAGTAGCTTACGTTATTACCTTTCTAATGATACTAAACTTTGGGTAGATTTTTAACATAATATAGGCGTAACTAGTCCGTGAATTAAACATCGCTTTGCATTTTCAAACACTTTTGGCACGGTGCATCTACAGACGAACTAGCGAAACAAAGCAGGTATTGCATCCAACCATAATACGCTCTCGAGAGTTGGGAACAATTGCAGATAGGAGTGGTGAACCTGGGAGAGCTGTGGTTATATTTAGGGGAA